CACTAATAGGTGACATGCGGAAGGAAAAGCAGATACTATAACCTTGAATGAGCCAGATCTCAGAATTACCACAAGGGCACCTATGAGCTGGATAAAGCCACCCCTCGACATGTGTCTGGTTAAAACTCAGACGCAGTCACGGCGTGAATTGGTAAATTACGTTAACATTTCTGTGCCTCAGTTTTCTCACCTTTAAAATAGAGATAATATGTTGAAAAACACGATGTGAGTATTGACTAAGATATGCAAAATATTCACTGCAGTGCCTGATGCGTAATAAATTGCCATAATAGGAGTGACGAAGGATATGCTTTGGAGGTTCACAGTCCTGCTAGGAATGTTGGGCAATCCTGTGTTTAACGAAGCTGTTGAGTCACACGGAGAAGGGTGGTATTCGGTCATTGATTGTCCTCATATCAGAAATGAGTACATAGGATTCTGGCTTCTCCATTCTTGTGATGCTTTACTAAGAATAATGTGTTCCACTTCCATCCAGGTTAATACAAAAGATGTAAAGAAATAAATTTTTATTCAAAAAAAAAAAAGAAGGGTGATACTCAGTATAACCCTGTAATAACATGAATTTGCATACAGTTAGCCGCTGCCTTCTACCAGCCCCTGTTTTCAAATGTGGAATGGGATGAATCTCTTATCCTTGGAAGGGGCAGGGCCATCAGAAAACGACAGCTCTGAGATATGTGGAGCTTAATTCAGTGCACGGTCATATCTACCCAGTGCGATTTCCACTGTGCTTGCAGTGATATTGGAGACCACTGGGAAAACATGGCTGCTCATTAGCTTTGTGAGACTGTGACTCCTTGTTTGACATGACTGCATTTTTTGGAGTCCACTTATCTCATCCAGGCAGGGTTTTACTGCACTTCAAGAATACCTCCACAGTAATTAGGAACTTCCTGGACTTTCATGGGTATGTGTGCATTAAAAGGAGACAAAATAAACTCGCTGTACACACCAGCTGGGCTTTGGGGAGGTTTGTGTTGTTTTGTTTTCCTTTGCTCTTAAGGATGGTGTTTTGGCTTTAAAGTTTGTCTCTTGACATGCCTCTGCATGTAGAGATTATGAGAGGTTGAAACTACTTCAAACTTGGCACCTGAGCTCATGTCTTCCCTGTGTGAAAGAGAAGCATCAGGGCCAGCTTGCCAGGCTTAAAAGGGCTCCCTTTACCTGGAATTTATTATTTGTAGAGGCCAGTTTTGTTGTAACACAAAAGGGAATGAAGGCAGATGATGTCAAAAATAAGTATGTTACCCTGGACCAGTAACCATGGTGACAGGGACTTCACCAGATTGTCCAGACACCCATCAGTCAAAAAGACTATGGAAGGAGTCCTTTGAATCACAAACTTTAGTCATTCTAAATGATTCATGGAGTCCTACAGATCTGCCTGGCTATTCTGGGAGAAGAACATACATGCTCATGCAATCACAGCTCCCATTCTCACCAGAGCCAAGCTTCATCTAGGGATGGATTCTGGAGTCTCATCATTTCTCTACTGCCCAACTAGCACTGTAGGCCAGAAATGACTTTAACTCTATTAAACAGAACCTGACTTCTATGGTATTACCACTGCAATGATTCATGCAGAATTGGTCTGACAGAGACAGCATTGAATACTAACACAATAGAACCTCTGTAAGTTGCCCACCCAAAGGACTGTAACCAACTGGTCAAATACGGAAGGGGTCAATATAAGGAACTAGGCCTACTGTACTGATATATGTGGCACATTTCCGGTGTATGAGACTTAGGGCAACTTAAGGACATGGTCAGGGTAGGGTGTCGGCCAACTATGGAGGGTCTACTGTATTTAGAATAACTCTGATACGCATATTGGAATGCACCTGTTCCTCATATTTCTTGATTTCATGATAGAGACAAAGAACTGGTGTTTATGTTCCCAGTTGCTAATTTTGATTCTACTTTGACAAAATCTAAATGATGCAACATGAAACATTAGTATTGACTACTAGATATTAGAAATGTGAGTTAATGAGCTTACAACCGATTCTAGAGCCAGACCTTCTAGGTTCAAATCCTGACACTGCCACCTAGTTAACCATGCAGCCTTGGTCAAGTTACTTAAATTCTCTGTGCAAGAATGTTCCCAGCTATGAAAGGAATAATATAGACACCACCTCAGTAAGTACCTGGAACATGGTATGAGATTAAGAAACATTATTATTACTTATTATTGGCCAATTTTAATCATTCCGTGTAACAAATAAATGTAAGAAACAAAAACAAGAACAATAAAAAAGAATAAACACAACCAAGTCCGACTGTCATCTCACAGCTATTCTCTCTCTACCACAGGGAGAGAAAACAAGGAACTGCTTCTATACCAACCTTAGATCCTCCAAATCACTCCACAGCCCCTCTGACTGTAAAATTACATTTTCTATTCTATTGATTATAAAACAAGTTGAAACCTGGGGTATAATTTTTATTTGGCTCTTATTTATCCAAAGAAGAGTATCTAGACCTAGAAAGAATTTGTGTGTCAGGGGATAAGATATGACACAAAGGTCAAGGACAAAGAATAAGGACAGGAGATTTCTAATGCCTTTTCTCTCTTATCTTTCATGACTGAATTTTTGCAAATTACAGTCTTCCTGGGTTACATGTTTCTCATCTGTAAAATGAGAGGGTTGCTTCCAGCTCTAGTAACAAACCAGAGAACTAGACTGAATCTTATAACATCTGAGAGACTACTAAACATAGTTTCATTGTTTGAACCATCCTATAATGGGTAATCAGAAAGGTAATTGCTTCATAGCTAAGTATTATTAGAGCATGATAATAGGCCCATAGTAAAATGATTATTCATCTCTTTTCATATATTGTGTTTTTTCAGAGCCCCTTAGATTAGGTCTAGAAGGCATGTGTCACATAGTTTCTCTAGCTTTTTCTTCCCAATTTAGTAGACTTATAAGAGCTTTCTATAATTTTCTCCATGGATCTTTAAAAGCTATCAGGTAGCATCAATTAGTTTTCAGGCTGCTCATTCACAGACCTTATATTTCTTGAACATTTTATAAGAGGAATCTTTTGTAACTGAAAAAACCTTAAAAACAAGTATTTGGCAAAAATACAGTTGTTGAAAGGAGTGATTAAAATCCTTTTATTGCTATTGTTAGCAAATTGATAATTAGCATATTAAACCAGAGTATTTGTCCTACTTATGTGCTGAACGCATTATTTCTGAAGCCCGTGGTCCTGAAGCATGCAAGGATGCACACATTCCAACTGTACACCGTAGTGGTAGTCTGTTATAAAGAACTAATATGCACACAATATGAAGAGAAGAAAATTGGGATTTTTTTTTTTTTGGCCAGGGCTGGGTTTGAACCCACCACCTCCAGCATATGGGGCCAGCACCCTACCCTTCTGAGCCACAGGCACTGCCCCCAAATTAGGATGTTTTTATAAGCAACTTAACAAAATCTCATCAATAATTTTATGTGATGACTTGTGCAAAAGTCCTTTAGCAATAAGGTTCCATTCAAATATAAGGAGTTATTTATTCTAGCACCAAGAGTTTAAACACTTTATACTAATTGAGTTAACGTTTTCTTTTGAATTATCCTATTGTGCCTAATTCGGGCACATTCCACAAGGCTCTCATCTTATTTCTTAGGACTGAGTGATTGAAAAACATCGTTCTTATTTTAAAAAGTCACTAGCTTGTTACCCTCTCTACAAAATAATTCAACATTGTATCTTTTATATAGCAAATTACCATAATTTATCTGAAATATAATCTGATTTGTAGAAATTTGTTTTACAAGAAGCTCTTAAGGAGATGGCTCTTCTGTTAAGTGTGAAACATCTGATTGACTTTTATTATTCTTCTAAGAAAAGTGGCTTCATGTGGGGAAAAAAACCAAAAACAAAACCAGTATTGGTTACATACATCACTGGGGTTGCAAGCGCACCCCCCTCAGTTCTGAGGGCTTTTCCATTCTAGATCCAAAAGACAGCAATAAAGCGAGATGGGCATTCGGCCCATTTTGTCACTTGGCAATAACTAAATGTATGTGAACCCACACAAATAGGAAAATAAAACTATCTAGTTGAGTTTAAACTAAACTAGTTTAGTAAACTAGTAAAACTAAACTAGTTGAGTTTAAACTATCTCTTAAACTAAACATGTTGGCACATTTATGCCACTCAAGTATTAGCCCTAAAGAGAGAGGTTTTGAGTTCTTTAGATTTCATTTGTTCTGCTGATCAAATATGAGTCCAGGTTTCTAGAACAAGAATAAAGAATGATCGAATTTGATGTTACACTTGTGTTCATACCGTAGTGAGATTTATGATGTGAATAATGAAAGAGTCAAAAGTTTATAAAGATTACAATATATCCTGCCTCCTAGAAGGTTCATATTTTTCTACGTAAGTATTACAAAGTTCACTTTCTGACCAATTCAAAAATCTTGGTCAAAAAAACACACAAACAGGTTTATATAGATACTTCCAAGTGAAAACACCATGTATGGAGAAGGAAATGTTTAGAATGAAACACGAAAGTAGCACCAAAATAAATTTGAAAAATTAAAAAAAAAATAAACCCCAAAGTGAGGGAAACAAACAAATCTCGTTTACTTACAAGTTGGTTTTGCTGTTGGAGGAAATTTGGTCCGAGTGATAGCCAAAATTATGAAAATAATGACTGGCCATAGGATCAAGACAAGTGTCCAAAGCTGAAAAACAATGACAGAAAAAAATGTTAATTATGTCATTGAACCAAAACAAACTGGACATTTGACTACCTATAAATATTATTTTGTAAAGAAAGGAATGAGATTTTCTTTATGTGCAAACGTTCTCTAAATAAACAGAAGAATGATTTTTCCCGGTTGAAAACTCTGCAAAGACCTTCCAAAGCTTCCTTT